GTCTCTGTGTGTGTGTGTTTTTCTGCTGTCACAGAGCTTACATTCTAAGGGGAAAGTGTTAAGCTAATACACGAAGATATAAATAATACAAGTCAGTACTGCTAAATACCAGAAGGGATACATTTGCCCTGTGACCTATGTAATTTGGAAAACTCAACTTATCTCTTACATGTGATTAGTTTCTGTGATATAATTTATCCACTACAAAATCAAGCTTTGATCCACAATTTTGATTTACTTTTCCTAAACAGATTCTTAGTAGTAGAATTTTAAAAAATAATGTTAGGTAACAAAAGCAACCTGATGCCATCCTTCTAATTACCCAGGCTCACCTCTCTAGGGGATTGATTCTCAACTTCAGCATGAACCAGGGCTTGTTACAGATTGCTGGGCTCCATCGCCTGAGTTTCTGATTCAGGATGTCTGGGGCGGGGGTGAAGGGTGGGGGAACATAATCTGCATGCTGCTAGTGTGGGGATCATGCTGCTCCAGGGTTATCTTTGAATTTTCCCTATTGCTTGCCTTCCATATCCACGTTGACACTAAGGCTTATCCTTTTTATATTCTCTGTCTTTCCCTTTCATTTCCATTCCTTTATTTGACTTCTGCTTTTTTCTCTTGATGGAAGGGGGTAGAGGTGAGCACTGCTTTGTTCCCTGACAGGATGGTTTGTGTTATCTTTGGTTTTTTCCCTCTAATTCTGTTGCTTTCAAACATGCCCTTAACTCTTAGTTTCCTTTCTCACAACTTTTATGCAGCTGCAGTAGGTGAATGAAAGAAACTCCTAGAGACAAGGAAGTCCTCTGTGGTTTTTTTTAGCAGTGGATAAAGACTGGTTAGGTGAGGAATTTTCATTTTTACTGTTATAAAAATTGTTAAGGAATAAGAAAATTCTTTTATGAAGAACATTCAAGAGCAATCTAAGGAGTATAAAGTAGTTCCAGTGTTTAAATTCCAAAGAGGAAGGACACATGTCAAGCGTGTATTATTCAGAGACAGGAAACAGAGCAAAGCAACTCAGTGTCTCCTGGGTACTAGGGGCGAAAAGTAATAATTGATGAGGATTTTTAATTTTTCTAATTAAGTAACACTTTGCCTCTTCTGAAAAGCTCTCATATGCATCAAACGTTTACATCAGAAGGCAGGAAAAAATCATTTTTATTTTAAAGTCAAAGAAACAGAGGGTTGTGAAATTAACTGAGTTGTTGAAGGACACACAGTCATTTAGAGGAAACAAAACTGGATCCAAATCATCTAATTCCAGTACAATCGTCTTTCATTTGTGCCTCTACTTTAAATTTTTGTGTTATAATCACTATGAAATATACTTTACAACTAAAGCTTCCTTGATTCTTAAAGGTAGAGCTTAGCTCCAAAATCAATATGACGGACTACTTCTTTGTCTCAAACACATTTTTTTTTTTTTTTTTTTGAGACAGAGTCCTGCTATGTTGCCCGGGGTGGAGTGCAGTGGTGTGATCTCCGCTCACTGCAACCTCTGCCTCCTGGGCTCAAGTGATCTTCCCACTTCAGCCTCCCAAGTAGCTGGAACTATAGGTATGCAGCACCATGCCTGGCTAATTTTTAAAGATTTTGTAGAGCTGGAGTCTTTCCAAGTTGTCCAGGCTGGTCTCAAACTCCTGGGCTCAAGTGATCCTCCCACCTTTACCTCCCAAAGTGCTGGAATTACAGGCGTGAGCCACTATGCCTGGCCCCAAACACTCTTTCATGAATGTGGATCATTAACATAGTTCTGTATAAGTGCTTCTATATATACTTCAACAATGTATAATTTGGTTTTATTTTCATTTTACTGTATTTTTTTTTTTTTTTTTTTTTTAAGAGTTGGGTACCAGGTTGGCCTCGAAACTCCTGGGCTCAAGCAATCTTCCCGCCTCAGCCTCCTGAGTATCTGGGACTATTGGTGTGTACCATCACACACAATTTATCTCTGCAGTTGTTGAAAGCAACTACCATCTATATTAAACTTTGGAGTTACTGAATTGCTAAGACAGTTACTCTGCAGGTCTATTGATTTGCATAGTAGCTGTGATGGAGAGAACTCAAATGTCTTTCTTTCTAACTTTGTCAAGCTATTCTTTCTTTTTAGGATTCTTTTTAGTTAGAGTATGGGTGGGAATACAGAGTCCAACCCTACTCTTACGAGTATCCCCATGCTCCCTAGAACCTTTTTATATTAACATTTGGACTTTTTGCTTTGAATTTTTATCACTTCCACTGGGCTCTTGTAAAGTTTTGAGGTTCCATTTTTTTATGTTTTCCCCAGAAATTGAAAAGCTCACATTTGGAAATGTGAGCTACAACGAACCCAGGTCTTGAATTATTTCCACATGTTCCGGCTGTCTTGCTTTTTGAAAATCTAGACCAGTTGTTCTAAAACTTTGTTAGGTTAGGGGATCCTTCAATTAGACAAAAGTCTTGAAAGACCGATAGGATTTCCAAACTGCCACTGCCAAATAATTCTAGAATGACAGGGAAGAGCATTACTTCTTTTAAATTAGGGGCCTGATTGATATATGCACATTATTATTTTCAGGTGGGGCTATATTATACACACCATTACAATAACATTCATAATTTACTGAGGATGTTCATAATTTACTAGAAAACTGAAGTTCACACTTTAAGCATAACTCAGATTTATAAAATGACTCTACCGATAGCTTTTGCATCTATAATGTCTGAGTGCACAAATCCTTTGTTGGTTTTCTCATGTCCAAATCTAGTTATCTCAGCTAACCACAGAATCTCTGGTGAATCCATTGGAGAAATGTATTTATATATCAAGAAGATATTTTTTGGTAGTACACTGAAAATTTTATGTTGCAAATTTAAAGACTTACCTTAGTATGTGATCTAACGGGATGTGTGAACTTTGTATCTGATAGGTCTACTTGAAGAGCCGTACAGAGGGAAGAGTAGATATGTTTATGGATCCAAGACGAGCAAAGTCAAGTTTGGCTAAGGAGATACTTTCAAATGGTCCTTCCTATACCCCTCCCCCCAAGTTCCTTAATTTAATGGCTTATAAATCAGCTATCCGGGGGAGGAAAGGATATAAACTATGTGATAACACTCTATAATAATAAGTTGCTACAAAATAAAAACATTACTATTTGATTACTTCACCTAATAATGGTGATACCTAAACCATATGGAAAATTTATTGTGATTGACCTCAGGTCATTAGCACATTCACATTTATCCCTATAAATACACATAGCGACTTACCACTACCCAAATTTCTTCCTAAATTCAGTAGTGAGTCACTTTGTTTATTTGGAAGTGTGAATACTGTGATCTTTAAAAACTGATTCTCATAAAAGTACGCACATTAATTTACATAATGTCCTGACTTACACTGCAAAGAAGGCAAAGTTTATCTTAAGTAATGTTCTATTTGAGTTGTACAATTCCATGTTTGATGCCTTTTCTCCATCTCTGTTGCTTTCTTTCCCTTCAGTCCCCAATCTAAACTTTGCTGGTTTATGTCCTGTCTCTTGGATTCCTACTAGTTGACCTGAGAAACAAGTTGTTTTGAGAAACTAATTTGTTTTCATGTATCAGAATTCCAGTATGTAACTTTTCCCTGGTAAATTATGTGTCATTTAATAAGGGTATTCTGAGGTCAGGCACAGTGGCTCGTGCCTGTAATCTCAGAACTTTCGGAGGCTGAGGCAGGCAGATGGCTTGAGCTCAGGAGTTTGAGACCAGCTTGGGCAACATGGTGAAACCCTGTCTACAAAAAATAAAAAAGTTAAACGGCCGTGGTGACATGTGCCTGTAGACTCAGCTACTTGGGAAGCTGAAGTGGGAGGACTGCTTCAGTCCAGGAGGTTGAGGCTGCAGTGATCCGAGATCATGCTACTGCACTCCAGCCTAGGTGACAGAGTGAAACCTTGTCTCACCAAAAAAAAAAAAAAAAAAAAAAAAAGAATTTCAAATATAATGATCATCAATGTTGCAGGTATTCTTAGGTCCAAGAGAATCTAGGTGAAATCAAAATTGTTTAGGTACTCACTTATATGGAGGCACATCCATGGAATGCCCAATTCTATGGGAATTCCATATCTCTGTCCCATTATGGAGCTAAGAAAAAGGACTGGCTGAGAGATCAGGAGATCTTAGCTCTGGGATCACAGAATCCAGGGATGAAACACAATCTTGCCCATCTTGATGACTGAATCCTGTGTACAAAATCCCTAAAAATGTTCATCCATTTTCTCCTTGAATGCCTCTAATTACAGAAACTCACTCCATATAAAGGCAGTCTATCTGATATTAGAACAGGTCTGATTGTTAACAAAATTTTTATTTTGTTTTGTGGAAAGAATCTCCTGATAGCATCTAATCACTGGTCTAGTTCCACCTTTTGGAGCCAAACTATACAAACTGGACATCTGCTCCTCTTAACCATCTTAATAATAGCTACCACTTATAGAGCACTTATTCTGTGCTAGGAACTACCCTAAAGACTTCACATATAGTAATTTATTCTCAAAACAGCACTATAAGGAAAGTGTATGATGCTTATTCTTATTTTATATGCAAGGAAACTGAAGTACAGAAAAGTTAAGTAATTTTTCCAAGGTGACAAGGTTTAGTAGTAGCTAAGGCCAAATTTAAAGCCAGGCCATCTGGCTCTGGAGCTCCAGCTCTTCCTGACTACAATATGCTGCCTCTGAAACAGAAATACTTGAATATGGCTTATATGATGCCCGGAGTCTTCTCTTCTGCCGTCTGGACATCCCTAGGACATCCCTTCTCCATAAAGGATTTCTGTGATGGTGTCTCTTGGTGGCAGGGTGCTTTGTTCTTATGATGGGAGGAACACAGTTGGGGCTTCTAGAAGAGGCTTGTGGTGGGGTCAGTTTAAAATCTGAAAGATGATCCCAGACCTTCCCTTCTACCTGCCCACTTTGCCTTCCCACAGCCCCCTCAGCCCCTGCTGCCAGGCCTCCAGGTGGGGTGGCACTCACCTGTGTGTACGAACATGTGCTTGACGTAGTTCTGTTTGGCGGTGAAAGTCTTGTTGCAGAGAGTGCACTCATAAGGCTTTTTTTCGCCTTGCCCACTGGCTGTGCTGTGGCCTGCGGATGAGGCCAGGGGCTGTGGCGCTGGCAGCTGTGCAGTAAAGGTCGACAGGCCGGGCTGGGACACTGTCACAAACTGGGTCTGCTGGCCTGCCAGGGGCTGTGGCAGGCTGAAGAGGAAAGGCTTGGGGCCACTGCCCGCGGGCTGGGTAGTGAAGAGGGCTGGCAGGTAGGTGTTGCCAGCTGTGCCAATGACCTGTGTGTTGCTGGTCAAGGTCAGAGGCATCCTCAGGTTGCTGGTGAGGGTTTCTGTCTGGCGTAAGTAGAGCTGGGTACTTGGCAATGGCTGCCCGATGGACGTGTTGACCGAAGGCTGTTGCAGGACGCTCTTGTCGGAGCTGTTGCTGACAGTGATAACAGTGTTGTCCATCTCCACTTCATTGCTTCTCTCCGGAGAGGAAGCACCTGTTTCTAGCTGGTTTGGCTGCGGGCCACCCTCGGCAGGAGCTTCTGCAGCCTGCTCAGGTTGGGCGGGTTCAGCCTGGCCGTCCCGCGCCGCCCCAGGCCCAAACTGCTGCTCCACCGAGTCAGGCTCGGTGCCTATGGAGGAGCTGACGCCCGAGTCGAAGCTTTCACCTTTGGGCTCACTCTCGGTGCCCTCGGCCTGGTCTGTGTCTTCCGTGCACTCCTCGGATTCGTTGCGCTCCAGGATCTGCACCCTTTGCTGCCCGTAGTAGTCGTAATCGTCCTCCATCTCCTGCTTGATGTGGATGTTGCCCACTAGGGTCTGGATGCGCACAGGCCGGGGCTGCTTGCGGCAGTGCGTGGTCTCGGGGGTGGTGGACAGGTAGCGCTCCATCTGCTGCGAGCGCTCATGGATGCGTGTGATCCAGCTGGGGTCTTCCATGTGGTGGTCGCGGGGCAGGCCGAGTGCAGTCTCGTGGTGGCTGACCACTGCACCGCTGTAAAAAGAGCGCTCCCCGCTGCCATTCTGCATGGAGCACGCGTAGAGTGCCGAGTAGATCCTGTCCACGCTGTGCTGTGGGTGGCTCTGCAGGTAGCCCGACTCCGTGTCGCTGCTTTGCCCTGACGTGCCTGACTCGGGAGTGCCCCGCGGCGTGTCCTGGCCCGAGTCTTGGATCCCCGGGAACACATCGCCCACGTTCTGTGACACGATGCGCGTGCACTCGTCGATGACTGTTTTGATCTGCAGGATGCTGGCGGCCGTGAGGATCTGCAGAGCTTCCGACTGAGAGACCCGTAGCACGCCGCTGTACATGAAGTCAATGAGCTTTTGCACTGACTGCACTGACACCACCGACGGGATCTCGATGTCGCTGTAGCCAAGCAGCAGTTTGTCCTGGAAGAAAGGGCTGCCGGCTGCCAGCACGCAGCGGTGTGCGCGCAGCATGCTCCCGTGGATGCGCACCGTTACGTCACAGAAGTGGCCACGGTTGCGCTGCTCGTTGAGGGTCTCGAGCACGGAATTGCTGAAGTTGTGAAGGTTGATGCTGTGAATGCGCTCGGTCATCCCCTTGCAACTGATGTCACCTGCAGCATGTCAACGCAGACACAAAACAGGCATCGGTCAGATCTAGCTGGCTGCATTCCTAGCACCTAGGTTTCAGGTGAGTAATGCTCATGGCTCCTAGAAGCACTGCCCTTACATACCCAAGTGGGGAGATGGACAGGCTGCGGCATACAAGCTGTAGGTACGATGGCCTGAGGGAAAAGGACCTTGAATTTTGCTCCAATTCCGGCCTTAGCGCCGCAGCCATTTTGGGTATCCATGTTAATTGCCCAGAGCTTCGGCTGAGTTAGGAGTGGCCTAATAACCAGATGGTGTTTGCCTGCTATTCCTATAGCTTCAGCAAAAAACTGAAAGGGAAATGGAAGACTTGTTCTTATGGCACACTATACCTCCACTTTATTTTTATTTATGCATTTATTTACTTGCCTTCACTTTAGACAGGCCTAAGCCCAGGTTCTTTGGGAGAGTTTACATTTCCCTCAACTTATCCAAGTCCCTTATTTTATTCATACACAGTGACCATATTCATAGTTAACAAATAAACCCCCTTCCTATTAAGTCATATGGCATATTATCAAAACCCACACCATGTATGCAAAAATTCGTGAAAATTCAACCCAGACTAAGACGTCTACCAAACAGTCATGACCATGCTTTCCGGATGATGGATGGGCTACAGAAAGCAATCTGCTTGCTAAAGGGGCACTCCATGGCTGCTTTCTGTATCTACTCATTCTTCTTGTCATCTCTGACAACCTGTCTGAGCACTTTCTAGGGTGGTTGCATGTGATATGGAAGGTTTTCTGAATTTTCTGAGGCTTAATGAAGAAGGAATGTTAAAAAGGTCAGAGATGGCAGTTCTGACCCAGGAGACTAGAGTACATTGGCGATCATATTTATTATTCAAGCGGGGCACTTTCAAGAGTGAAAGGGAGCATTGTTAATAATTAGGCCAGGATAGTAGGACTAAACCAGAAGTGGGATATATGATCTCCTTGGGTAATAGGGTGCTTTATGTACTTGCCACAGCGAAGTATTAAACAGCTCCCAGGAGGAAGGCAACAGCTATGTGGAGGCTGCGGATAGCCTGACCCAGTGCCACCCCTATAACATAGGCTATATGACAAGGGATAATATTGATAAGATTTGGATTCAGAATGAGAAAGAAAACAGGTGGCCACAGCAGATCTTAGGGCTTTTCTATTTTTCTAGCTCACCTCTCAAATGGCTCTAGAGAATTCCCCTGCAAATAATTCTTCAATCAGATTCACCACTCTGGCCTTTACAACTGAACAATCAGCTTGAGAAAGTGAAGTAAGTGGGCTTTCAAAATCAAATGGCCCAAGCACTGACTGTTGGCTTGTGACCCAAATCTCTCTATCTTGTGAGAAGCCACCTGAGAGGTAACAGCCTGCAGATAGGAAGAAGGCCTACCTCCTCGAACTCTGACAGAAGACTTGTTCAGGAAACTCAGTTCAATGAGCTTTTCTACCTTGCTTCACTCAATCACCCTCACATGGTATGAGCTTAACTTAATAAATGTTCAATAATACAATTTGCACTAATTTGTGTAAGAGCATTCTTTCTTGTTTTGACTCCATCAGGTCTGTTATGTGCCTAAAATATTGTATTAGGCTACAGATTCCATCGTTTTTACTTATATAAGACAAGTTCTCTTTGCCAGATTAAAGAATTAAGGTGAATCCCCTGTAACCATGTTAATACAAAATACGGCCCCAAAGAAGGGCACAAATAACCCAGGAAGGTCTGTTCAGGAACTCAATCAGCAGACGACCAAATTTCAAGTTCTTGCTGAGTTCAATCTACATACATACCACGATAGTAATCACAAGAGAACATTTTTTAGGGGTTACGGTTCTAACTGCTTTATGTATATGATTTCATTTAATCTTACAGCAACCATGGGGAGTAGATGATATTATTCCCATTTTACAGATGAGGAAACTGAGGCCAGAGAAACTAAGAAACTTGCTCAAGTACGCACAGGCAATTGCTGGTAGACTGGCATTTAAACCCAGGCTGTCTGGCTCTAGAGTTCACCCTCTTCACTGCTTCATTATATTGCATAGTTTGCCCTGGACTGAGGTCTGGCCCTTAGGGATCCATGGCTCTGTTGTAAAGCTGTATGAAAGGCTTTGTCCACCACTACCTCCAGCTGCTTTTATACCTATCCGTGATTTACTATGGCTTTCATGTTTCTAGGCTGTCATGCTTCGATATAGCCTCAGTTGTCTAACTTATTTTTTTAGACGTCACAGTGCAAGAAGTAAGACAACTAACTAACTGGCACTATGGTGTAGAATTTTCGATATACAATTTTACTATAACCAAGGTCTCTTTCATTTAAGAAAAACAATAGGCAGTAAAACTGGTTGTGTCTGTGATCATCTCTGTGTAGGATGGATTTATTACATTTTTTCTATACAAGTGAAAACACTCTTTAAACACACATTTGCTGATAGCATTGGTTACAACAATAACACTAGAGATGTCATATATGACAGAGTTTTCTTTCAGATAATTCTGGGAAGTAGCTCTATCACAATTATCACAATAATTAGTATCCACGTAGTATCTGACAGTGTATACAACTCTTTTACACGTAACATCTCATTTACCCCTTATAGCAAGCCTGTATGTGTTCCGGACATGTTTTTTTTTTTTTTTTTTTTTTTCAGAGTCTTGCTCTGTTGCCCAGGCTGGAGTGCAGTGGCACAATCTCAGCTCACTGCAACCTTCAACACCCAGGTTTAAGCCATTCTTGTGTCTCAGCCTCTCGAGTAGCTGGGATTACAGGCCTGTGCCACCACAACACCCAGCTAATTTTTGTATTTTTAGTAGATGGGTTTTCACCACGTTGGCCAGGCTGGTCTCGAACTCCTGACCTCAGGTGATCTGCCTGCCTCGGCCTCCCAAAGTGCTGGGATTACAGGCATGAGCCACTGTGCCCAGCCCTTCAGGACAAGTCTTATTATTACTATTTCATATAAGAGAAAGTTGAGGCTCTCAAAATGTCTAAAAGACTTGCCCCAAAGTTTTACACAGTAGCACATGGCAGTGTTGGGATTAGATCCTATGCCTCTTAATGCTTTTTCCACTGCATAACAGTGGATCACTGAGGAATGAAACTTGAAGTGCCCAAAGATCGAGAGTTACCTTAATTCTCAGCAGAAAAAAAAAAAGGACTCAAAGTAATGATGAAGGTTGCCTTCAGAGATGAGAAATGAATACACATAATCACACACACACACAATTTCATGAGAAAAATGCAAACTGACCGGACTGGATTGCAAATTTAGTTCATCTAAACAATCAAGTTATCTACTAAATAGTCTGAGTTAAGACTTCTGTGATAATATTGCCACCAACTTCATTAAAAACCACAGAGACAAACCTAAACCTGCACACGTACACAACCTGACCTGACATGCCTGGTTGAATTTTATAGACACAATTCTTAAATATCTCCCTGAGTACACTGGCCCCACACTGCAGTGAACAGTCATGAAAAGCTGAATCGTTTTTGCTGATATGAGTACAGATGCGAAGGGGGACCCTGCCTCCCCATTCAAGCGCTCCTCATTCCTCCAGCACACAATGCTGAGGCAATTCCTTTCCCAGGCTTTCTTTTATTTTTAACACTAATACAGTGGGAAAAAGTTTCTGCCACAGCAAGGCAAAGTCCAGGCTTTTGTGAGCATGTCCTTTTCATCCAATGGACATTAATGTATAGATTCCAATGGAATAAATCTTAAATACTCTACTGTAGAAGATTTGTCCCCCATTGAAAACAAATCTTGATTAGATGGTTATTCAGGGAGTGTATAGGAAGGAATGGTGTGAAAATGCTAACTCTATTCTTTCTTAGATTGGCACTGAATAGGCATTTGGGCTATTCAAAAAAAAAAAAAAAAAACAAAACACCACCACCCAAACCCCAACCCTATCAACTGTACAAAACCACAAAACTTTACATAGATTATGTGATTATGTGTATTTGGGGATTCTTCCCCACCCGAAATAAAAAATGCACAGTGTTATGAACACAAAACTGATGGCAAAATGAAAAAGTGATAAAAATAGTTCTCTGTTTTAAAATAAGAACTCACCTCCTTTTCACTAGAGTAAAAACATAGAGTCAGCCTGTGATGGCATTCCCTAGAAACACGGAAGGAATTGCAGTAATGAACGTCATCATGTATTCTAAGTGACTGTTCTGCGAGAGCACAACACAGACGGGACTAAAGCAGGGGTGAGTACCGAAGAAAAATCTGCCTGTGGGGAATTGGGGATAGAGGGCCTGACTCTCTGTTTTGCAGGAACCTTGCTCCTGCCTGTCCCTTAAGCTGCAGGGGTCCAGGGATAGGACTTAGCATGAGAATAAAAAGCTGCCTGCTCACAAGAGAAAATGAGCAAAAAAGGAAACAGCAGGCAATACAATCTCTTTTAATTAGGTGTGAAATCCAGTCCTTTCTCAATCAGGAGAGCAAAAGGATATATAAAATGAGACTAGTGCGAGGGTAAGATGCTATAGAGGGGGATGGGGATTTGAAATCTCTGGACTTGGAAGGAAACACCATCTCTCAAATGAAAACCAATATAAATTTCGGTCCAGTTAATAAGCCTAAGTCAAGTGGCAGGGCCAGAAAACCTTTGAGCTTTCAATTTGGGGCGCCAGATGAGGTTAGTGGGTCTGCACATGAAACAGGGTGCAGCTTGCCAAGTTAGTCACACTAGGAAAGAGTTAGTCATCTCTGGAGAAAGGGGGGATGTATTTTGGTGACTGAGCTCCCTTATTCTCCAAGCCCCCTGCCTGGGGTAAGACCTCAGTTACATCTACTTTACCTCTTCATATATGCCAAGGGAGTCCTGCTGAACCCCTGCACTAGAGGAGGTATCATAGTTTCTCGCTCACAGGTTCCATCCAGAGCAAATGACTCTGAACCACCCTGCTCTCTCTTTCTATCTCACTAGTATCATCACAGTCTTGGGACGGTGG